ATTTATGATAACAGAAAAATATTATTATACTTATGAACACCTTTTACCAAGGTAGTAAGAGATCTGTACACCATAAACCACAAAATATTAGTGAAAGAAACTGAGGACACAAATAGATGTTCATAGATTGAAAGAAACTGTATTGTCAAAATGTTTATAACCCAAAGGAGGTTATAACCTCTCAAATCCCAATGGCATCCTTTGCAGAAATAGAAAGGACAATTCTAAAATTAGTTCATACAGAACCCTCATTTCTGTTTTAATCCATTTTGTGTTCATAACACTGAGTAACTTATTTTTTACAAAAGAGTTTTGTTTATTTCACAGTTCTTCAGGCTGGAAAGTTCAAGAAGCCTGGTACCAGCATCTGTCTCAGCTTTGGGGAGGGCTTTCGTACTGGGTCAAAACATGGTAGAAGGGAAAGCAGACACAATGTGCAAAGAGAGGTACCAAACAGGAGAAGAAACAGAGAAACCTTGATTTATAACAACTGAGAACTAATTGAGTCTTCCAACTCACAACACGAGAATGGCTGTAAGCCATTTGTGAGGGATCCACTCCATGACCAAATCTCCTCCTGTTAGGTCACACCTCCCAACACTACCACACTAGGGATTCAATTTCAACATGAATATTGGTGGGGACAAATCACATCCAAGCCATAGCAATATGGAACAACAAAAGTCCTCAAATTGCCAAAGCAAGCCTTATAAAGAAAGACAACGTTAGAGGCGCCACATTTCCTGAATTCGAATTATATTATAAAAGGATATGGTACTGACATAACGATAGGCACATGGACCAATAGAGAACACAGAAATCAACACAAGCACATATAACCATCTAATTTTCAACAAGAGCACCCGGAAGATGCACTGGGTAAGGATAGTCTCTTCAATGAATGATGTTGAGGAAACTATATCCACATGTTAAAGAATAAAACTGGACCCTAATCTTACAATATACAAAAAAAAAATCCCAATATGGACTAATGACCTAAATATAAGACCTGAGACCATAAAACTCCTAGACAAAAACACAGGAGAAAATCTCTTTTACATTGGCCTTGGTAATGATCTTTTTGATACCACACCAAAAGGTCAGGCAACAAAAATGGAAATAAGCAAGTGAGACTATATCAAACTGAAAAGCTGCTGCATAGCAAAGGAAACATCAACCAAATGAAATTGTAGCCTACAGATTGTGGAAAAATAGTTGCAAACCATATATCTGCTAAAGGCTTAATATCCAAAATTTACAAGGAACTCACACAAATCAATGGGGAAAAATAAAATAATCTGATTTTAAATGGGCAAAAGACCTAAAGTGGCATTTTTCCGAAGAAGAGGCATATGAAAAGGTGTTCATTATCACTAATCATCAGGGAAATGCAAATCAAACCATAATGAGATATCACTTCACACCTGTTAGGATGGTGCTATGGTCTGAATGTCTTCTTCAAAATTCATATGCCAAAATTTAGGATATCTATTATCAAAGCAAACAAACAAATATAAAATAACAAATGTTAGCACGGATGTGAAGAAATTGAATCCTTGTGAATTGCTGGTAAGGATGTAAAATGGTACAGCTGGTTTGAATAACAATGTGATGGTTACTCAAAAAGATACAATTATCCTTTGATCCAGCACTTCCACTTCTATGTATATATCCGAAGTAAATGAAATCAGAGACTCAAACAGATATTTTAACACTATTGTTGACAGTAGCATTATTCACAACAGCTGAAGGTGGAAACAATCCAAATATCCATAGATGAATGGATGAACAAAATGCAGTATAAGACGAAAAAATATTCATCATTAAAAATGATGGAATTCTGATCTATGCTACAATATGAGTGAACCTTGAAAACATTATGCTAAATGAAAAAAGCCTAACACAAAGGACAAATATTTTGTGATTTGACAAATTCATAGTAGAATGGTGGTTTCCATGGATTGGGGTGAAAGAAGAATGAGGAACTATGATTTAATGGGCTCAGGACTTTAGTTCGAGGTGTAAAAAGTTCTGGCAATGAATGGTGATGATGGTGGCACAACAATGTGAGTGTGTTTAATACCACTTTATTGTACATTTAATCATGGCTAGGATAGTTTAATTTAATATGTTAAATATTTCACCATAATTTTAAAAAAATGAGCCATTGAACCACAAAAGGACAAACAGGAAACTTGAATGTACATTGGTAAGTGAAAGCTCTGGCCTGACATACTGCATATTGTGGTTTTTTTTTAATTATCTTTTTTTTTATTAAATGATAGCTGTATACATTAATGCAAACATGGGGTACAGTGTAGTGTTTTCATATACATTTTGAAATACTTTCATCAAGCTGGTTCACATAAATTTCATGTCATTTGCATAGTCATTGTGTCAAAACATTTACATTCTAGTTCTAGAAAAGTTCACTTGTACCCTTGTTAGACAGAAATATAGGTGATCTTTCTGGTCACCCTCCAACCACCCAGCCACCCTTCTCCCCTCCCTTTCCCCACCCCCTCCCTATATTCTTGGGCTAGAATTAAGTTGTTTCTTTCATTTGAGAAGTATATATTAGTTTCATAGAAGGGCTGTGTACATTGGATACTTTTTCTTCCATTCCTGTGATACTTTGCTAAG